ACATGTTTTCCTCTTAAAAGATGATCCAAATATGTGTTGACTCTAGCTCTTTGACCTTCTGAACCATTCTGAGCTCACAGAAAAGGCAGGAATTGCCAGTGGAGTTAGCGCTAGCCCTACTATGTTTATGAACATTTTTAAGTGAGTGGAATTCTTAGTGCTGAAAGACATTCTTGATCATTGCAAGAGCACTAACTTGAGTGTGGAGTAGAGACACGTGAACCTGTGCTCCCAGGCAGTGTCACTTTGTGTCTGTCTTAACTTGGAAGCCCAGAGGCTCTGAGATCGGGAATGGATACATGCAGGAAAGGGGCATACAGATGAACTCTCTTGACCACTGAGGCCACGAGAGAAGGGCCACCTTTTCCCCATTCTTTCTTCTGTGATTCCTTAGGCACTGAGATATTTCAATCTAGAGTCCAAAGGATGCGTAGGTACTGAGGGAGAAATACCACATGTGTGTTTCCATCAGCAAGTGCAAGTAGCACACTGATAGCCAAGCCCGTTCCTCACCCATGTGGTGAGTGCCAAGCCCGCTGGCTCCTTGTGATATTTCCAGCCCTGCCTGTGGCAGGACTCCCAGCATGGAGCACCCTCTGAAGAACTGGCAGCCCATATGCCATGAATTCTTCCATTCCCTTTATGTGCACTTCTACATCGTAGAGCAGGGAGGCCAAGAAGCCATGGGAGAGCCAAGTTAGACTTGGTCAGAACATGAGTGCATGCATTCACTGCACATTCATGGTCCTGTTGCTGTTCCTTAGCAACAAGCTGCTCTGAAAATTCTTTGAGAGCTATATTATTGAAAATAATATAATCACAATAAACTGGAGGCAGCCTTAGAAGAAAAAGAATCAAATTATACTTACAGAAATATCAATTGAGTCACAGATGTAGGTAGACTCACAACGTGTTTCATGTTTCATATTAAGTATGTATAGGAAAAACCCAGTGCACATGGCCAAACACTAATGGAGTAACTTTTTTGGAACTCCTCTGTGCTAATAATAACTAGCCATCGAACAAAAATAAGTAGCTGGACAGAAATAAACAAGAGAAAATGGAAAGGAAAAAAATCTACCACTTGACATTGTTACTGTCACAAGTCCAATAACCTAACAGACATTAGCAACAGCATGTTAAACCATAGTAAACAAGCAATAGCGAAAAAATTCTGGATTAACAGCAAAATATGAGCCACCAGCTGACAGCTCTTCCAGCTTCAGGTCTGAGTGAAGACACAAGCCCCAAAGCCACATATTCAAAGGTAGCAATCGAAGATGTTCCTGCACAGAGTTGAAAAGCAAAGTACACCCTCCAAACTTAGAGACAACTGTTCCAAAGCCAAGAGCCCCAAGATAGGACCTGTCCAGACGACTTCTTGCCAATGACCTTCAATTATCTCAAGTTGGAGAAAATTAGAAACAGTTGTCCCTTTCAGAAGCTAGGAAAAAACCCAATCTCCCTTTAGTCATTCACCTGTGAGTAGTTATCATCCAGATATTAAGTTCTTACCAATTAACAGCTTACATTGGGTGAAGCTGGCAGTTCTCTCAAACCATTCAGTCAATTAATATTTATTGAGTACCACCTGAACTAGGCACTGAGTAAATCAAGATGAGCAGACAGGCAGAACTGATGCTCAGTACCCTCCTATGGTGTGCTGTGCTACCAGCAATCTGCTTCCCCTGAGGACAGAGCATCAGGCCAATGAAGCTTAATCCTTCAGCTCCATCTCCAAAGACAGCACCACAGCTCTCTGGTTGAATTTCCCCATTTAAGTTCCTGAATACAATGTAGAGCTCATCTCCTGTGGAAGCAACATCAGAAATAATATTTGGGTCCTCATAAGGCTTGTCCTTCTCTCCCTGCATTCAGCAACAGTGTGTTTACCAGAGGTTTCTGGTTTGTATTACCCCAGGTTCTTCAAATCAACAGTATTAAACCATTAATTAGTTCATAACTTGAAAGCTTGTGCCACAAATTGAGATAGTTGACATGCAAGATAAACCATGTTCCTCTCAAAGTTCCTATATTAGAAGAACAGGGGTCAGTGTGGTGGCGTTGAAAGGTGGCATAGAATGTTTAAGAGATAGGGCTAGGTCATTGGGGTGCTGCCCAGGGAAGGAGTTAATATTGGCTTTGTAGGGTGTGTAAGTTCATATGAGAGAAAAATGTGATAAAAGAGGAAGATTGGTCCACCCTGCCCTTTGACTTCTTGAATAAACATGTGATCTGGTATCTCTCTGTTGTTCAACCTTCCTCTGGATGACAAGGGAAGAGAGAGAGGCCTCACCTCAGGAGAGGTGGTGGTGTACTGTTTGGACTTTCAGACTTCCAAACTGTGAGCTGAAGACTTCATTCTTATATACACCCCCCAGATTCGGGTATTTAGTTCTTTCTTAATAGCCATGAAAAATGAAGACAGCCCTGAATGCCTAAAGGTGAGCTGGCAGCCATCCTATCTTGATTTGTTCCTAAGACAGGCAATATATTGGAGTTTAAACCTCACCAAAAAGCTTGTAAGGGTATAAATTTCATGTGTAATAGCCCACCTACATATTAGCCATCGGTCCCTCTCTGAGTCCACACTTCTGACCAAGGCTATGCAGTTTCTTCTATTGCTCCTAAGAAACCATGACTGGCAACTGGCATATTGTCTGATTATTTCAGGAGTATAATGTTTGCATAGTCTTCCCATTTTAGGACGTATGTTTTGAGCATAATCCTCACTCTAATAGCATTGGAAGTGCATTAACACATTAATTTTTAAACACCACTTTATGTTCAGTTTTGTTTGAGCTTGATACATAAGCCCCATCTTAATTTCTAGATCCCAAAAGATGATGGACTCAGCATCTGCCTTGTTAAGCAACAACCTCAGATCGGGGTCAGTTTGTGCATGCCATCGCACAGATTGATACATCAATGAAAGCAGAAACAAAATAAAACCCTAGCTGCCCCCAAAAGGAACACAAGCCTTTGAGACATTGTCAATGTACTTTTTATTTATGTTTAGGAGTAAGAGAGAAAAACACACCTATAGTTGTGACTGCTGGAAGATGTCATTGACTGCCCTGGTCAAGGACAAGCAACTTCTTCCTCCCAATTCATTAACAATATCCTCACGTTGTGCTCAGAAAATGCAGGCATTTGGTAGTAATCACCCAAATTATCCATTTAAAATACTGTCTGCTCTCAGTTCTGGGGTTACAGTATGCAATGCAGCCTTCTTAGAAATGAACATCTACCTTTTTTCCTATTGTTGTGCTACTGAGAAAAGTAGGTTGCCATTTACAGGTGCTTCTCTTCAGTGTGTCCTTCCTGGACAGCATCAGGAGGACTTCCCAGACTACACTGCCAGCATTCCCAGCACTTTTAATGAGCTCCCAGAAAGGCCTGGACATATTCTTTCTCAGAAGAATCCACAGATAAAACCCCTCGAGTCAAATCCTTCAAGAAAGGAGCCTCAGCCTTGAGAGCCCGCTACTCTCCAGTGCAAGCTGTGTTTGGGGGACATGCACTCAAAACACCCCCTAGGAAATCAAGCACCAGTAAGGGTGAGAAACATAAATGCTCATGGTGGATACCCGGCATGTGGACAGCACACGGCTGGTCTAGCCTGGTGGCTTGGGGAGAAAAGGCTGTTTGGTTTTCATGGCAACTCCACACTGTCGTACGAGGAGAGATGTGGAAACCCACATTCATGACCAGGATTAATGATTCTCACGGCTCGGGCATTAATTTCAGGGCATGAACAGCCCCTGAACACTGTTCGGATACCAATTTCCTCATTCACACAGACCAGACTACCTCAGAACTCTGGGGGAAGCCCTGTAATCCTTGATTCCCTGTGAGTTTCTGGCACCTGTTTAGGCTCAAAATCCACTTTACAATGACTCCAGCCACTCAGTATACTCCTTCTCCCAAGTCTCACCACTTACTAGAGCAAAGGGACTTTTCTCCTAAGGAAGCATCAGAGGTCCACAGACTAAGAGATGGAAGGGTTTTTATCACATTTTACTTTATGTCTGAATAGATGACAACTGAGAATCTCCATCACGGTCACCAAAGGAATGAGGGGAGGAAACAACAGGAAAGATCATCCATCCTAGGCCCATGTACACTGGTCAAGACACTGCTGCTTAAGCATCCCTTTCCAAGTGACAAGCAGGGTCAGAGTCATTCCCACTGAGCACACAGGTAAGACACCCACAGACCCCATCCTCCACCAAGTCCTCTTTACAGTTTTCCCTCCTAGGTACTCACAGTACCGAGCTGTCAGACCACACAAAATACAATAATCTCACAGCAGCCAATCCATAGGCTTAAACACCACAGCAAATGCTTCAACGTCACAGGAACTCCTCACTTTCATATAAAAGCATTTATTCAAGTATCTCCCCATGCCCACCCCCAAACACAATTCATTGGCCTAAAGACTATCAATTATCTGCTCATGGCAACACAGTTCTCAGCCCTGAGAATTTTTCCGCTTAAATAAAAACCAGTCCATGCACAAGCCCACTGGACCATGGTGGCATTCTTATTTTGCATCCGACAGTGTTAATTTTCCCAAACTGAAAATACAGGAAAGCAATAGCAAAAGAAATCAGGTGGCAGAAGGCTTAGAACCTCAAAATACAACTACAGAAAGGAGCACATGTGCCCATGGCACATGTCACCCTGCCCCTGAGCCTCACCTGACCACAACAGGAACACTCGAGCGCTGTCCCGTGCCTACACTGCTGAGCTAGTACATACTTGAGAAACCAGTCCATGCTTCCTGGGACAACTGTGCTCGCAGGAAAGTGGGGAGTGTTGAGCAATCATGACTTTGTTCTGTCTTGATTTGTAGTATTATACCCTTGTTTCTGTTCTCCCAACTTAAAAACCAGTCATCATAGATCCAGCCACTTCCTCCTTTAGTAATAATTAGCATTAGTCATGAGCCAAAAATGAGTCCACTTAAGAAGCAAAATAAGCATGGCTCTGCTTACCTTTCATACCAAACTTGGAATGCCTTGCCAACTTGAGCAGAAGCAGCATCACCAGCAGACAGAATCCCACCACAGACGCAATCACCACCACGGCATAGACCTGGAGAGAGAACGAGGCTGTGACGACCTTGCAAAACCGTTCCCTGCACTTAGATGACAGTGGAGATCATGGCAGTTAACATTTCCTGAACATTTACTACTGTGATGCCTACTCTACAAAGGAAGAAGCATGTTACACTTATAAACAGACCTCATGATACCACATGAATAATCATATCTATGGCTACCTCTATCTATTAATCTATCCATCTAGAGACATAGGAGCAAAGGAAAGGGGAAGGAAAGGAAAGGGTGATAAAAATATTAATATTTTGATGCTAGTGAAAAATACAGTGGGTTTGATTTTATTATTCTCATTACTTTTATACATGCTTAAAAGTTGTTCATGGAGAACACCCTTCTTAAGTTAGTGCCACGGCTTGTAGGAGCCAGGGCATGCTGGAAACAGGATGGTGTTTTGTAGTATGTCCAGCTGGAGATGGACATCACTGATCCGTAGACTTTTCTGTGTGGATGATACAGGCCAGAAAAGGACGTTTTATGTTTAAAATGGAATTACAAGTTGTGAGTTACACAAGTAGGAAGAGTGACTGTGTGAATTCTGTCACAATCCTAAGACAGACGACAATGAAACACTCAGTATTCACTGCCACCACTGCACCTCTGGGTACATTGTGATCATCTTGTACTTGAAGGACATAGTGACATTGTAGAAACAAAGATGTGACAGTGTGACACACTGTGTATCGCCTTTATGTTTTGCTTAGTCCAAGTGTCCTAGCTGGCTTTCTGATACTGTCACATGACTAAAAGTAACCCAGGAAGAAAGGGTTTATTTCATCTTACAATTTACAGTCCATCATCAAGGGAAGCCAGGCAGGAGCCTGAGGCAGGAACCGTGTGGAGGAACACTGCTTACTGCCTTGTTCCCCATGGCTTCATCATTTTGCTTTTCTATACGTCCTAGAACCACCCACCAACATGGCTCCACCCACAATTAATCCACATCAATCATCAATCAAGAAAATGCCCCACAGACATGCCCTCAGGGCCAATCAGATGGAGGCTGTCCTTCAATTGAGGGTCTGTCTTCCAGGTGACTCTAGTTTGTGTCAGGTGACAAAAATTACCAGCTCATCAAGGTTCAGGGGATTGGCAAACTTCTGTTGTACTCCAACAGATGGAACAAACTTAGACTCTGCCAGGCACAGAGCCTGTGTAGCAAGAACTCAGCTAAGCAGTGTAAGTTGAAAGCAGCCATAGAAGATGTGAAAACAAATTTACAAGGTCATGTTCTAATAAAGCTTTATTCATTAAAAACTGATGCTGCACTTTGACAGTGCTTACCAACTCCTGTCCTAACTGCCACTAAAAATCTTAAACTCCAAGTGTCATTCACTCTGTGTGATATCCCTTAAAGCAGTATTACTTTTCCCTCTAAGGTAATCATTAAAACTCCTTACCAAATTGATCTTGGCTCCTATTTCTCTGGAATATGCACTCCTTGCCTTCCTTGTGGTTAGGTGCATTCTCAACACTAGTTGAGACTGGTTTTAAGGAAGGGTGGAGAATATCCTTGCCAATCAGAGGTCTTAGTCAAAGGCCATGCTTATCAACAAACGATGGTGCTGTCACTGAAAGACTCTTGGCCCCTTGAGGTTTTGATGGGGGTGGGGAGCTGGGGTGGTCCTTTCAGTGGATAAGAGCCAGGAGTCTGCTAGCCATCTACCATGGCCAGGAAAGAGTCCCTAAATAACTCAGCCCCAAAGCCAACAGTGTCAAGGCTAAGAAACCCTGCTCTACCTGCTTCCACCCCGCTGTGAGGAAAATCAACTCTCCAAAGGGCAGCTGTGTGTCAGCTAGGTCCTACAGTCAGGGCGAAGGTGAGGAGACTCCCAGCAATCCACATAATGAAGCATGAGAGACATCTTTGTGGTGTTCAGCCACTAAGATGTGGGGATGTTTGTTACTGCAGCATAGCATATGCTGACACTGCAGACTATAGATATTTTAGAGCTGAGTTCTCTGTGAGTGTGAAATTCAGGTGTGCCCCTCTGCTTCTCATAATCGTCATGTTTGACAGCTCTCTGCCTTGTGGTTGTATATCCTTTATGAGTTCATGCAGACAGTGAATTAAGAACAGTAGCTCGGACAGTAAATAACACAATAGTTAAGATGGTGTTAATGATGACACTACCAAAACTAAAACTCATCAAATGTCAATAAACATCCCAAGGTCACAGAGCTTGGAATTGAACCAGTCTGTCCAGCTATTTTAAAAACTGTAATTTATTCACAACCAAGTATATGATTCACAATGAAGGCAGGGAAATAAAGATTGAAGGCTAATCCCTCCACAGTGTCACTGTCTGGTGTCAGATAAGAACAGCATTAAGTCAGTCACAAAGCTCCGAAAGGGCACTGGCAATGGCAGCATCATGCAAGACTCTGATAAGGGACCCTTCTGCCGCTTTAGCGCTTTTCTGCTCTTCCAGAGACAATCTCAGCAAAACTCTGGGTATAGAGTTAGCTTCACCAGCCCACATGTACTCAGTGACCGCAGTTCCCTCGTGACTGGTGGTGGACAACCTTGTTCTAACCAAATCCATCTCCTTCGAACGTGTCCAACGTATGCACACTGCAGGAACTACTCATGTGTTGGTTGATCACTAGCCTTCTTACTCCTAAGAAACACTGTCGTGGCATCAGAGAGCTTGTGTTCAAGTTGTCCTTGTTCTATTTAATAGTGACTACAAGGAAAAAACTGATACTATGTTGTTATAATTGTTAGATTCTTATTAGTGTTTTTAATCTCTTACCATCCCTAATTTGTAAATCAAACTTTATTATGGCTATGTATAGGAAAAGCCATTGCCAAGCTTCAAAACTACCTGAAACTTTAAGCATCTGCTGGAGGTTTTAGAACATGTCCTTTTCAGTGAAAAAAAAATGGCTACTGGGCCGGCAAGGTGACTCAGGGGGTAAAAATACTTGCTTCCTGCAAGCCTGATGGCCTGTGTTTGAACCTTGGAACCACAGTGGAAAGTGGTCCTCCCACCTACACATACACACTGAAGCACATGCATACCCACACACACACACACACCATGCAACTTTATTTAACATACAAATAAAATGTCACATTTCAGCACAAATAAAGTATCACCACATTTCCCCCTCTTATTCTAAGGGACCAAGTGCATTACCCTAGCATAACAAGAGTGATGCCAGAGTGACTCCGTTGCAGAGCTTACCACTTGCCTCCCCTGCTAAATTGTTTCAATTCTTGTTCTTTGCCAAATGATTTCCTATTTCACCTTTCAAAAAACTTGGTAGTGTACCTAAGACACCTAAGCAGAGTGAGTATGCTAACTGCTGTGTGTGGTTGACTCATGATGTTCAAACTATAACACAGGAAGGCAAAAACAGCGAGCATAACCAATGTTAAAAGCTGCGTTTTCTTCCTGGCAGTGGCGGCGCACGCCTTTAATCCCAGCACTCGGGAGGCAGAGGCAGGTGGATCTCTGTGAGTTCGAGGCCAGCCTGGGCTACAGAGTGAGTACTAGGACAGGCAAGGCTAAACTGAGAAACCCTGTCTCGAAAAAACAAAACAACAACAATGACCAAAAAAGCTGCATTTTCTAACTCAGAGGCATATAGAGACCTCTGTGAGATAAAAGGCCATTTTATGGATTTTTTTTAGATTCCAATTATGTATGGTTTAGACATTTGATGCATAAATAGTTTCTGGTCACAAGGAAGGCCATCAGATTAGAAGAGTTATGTGGCGGCATGCTGACAGGAACGCTGAAGGTATTGTGAGGGCATTGCAACTAGAATGGCTGCTAGGAACCTAGTCTGATTGACTGACTCATCCACATAAAATAAATAAAAAATAAATTAAAATTTTTGAGCTTCGTAGAACTTTCACGTCACAAAGTATTATTCCTCTTTGGATAATTTTTCAAGTCAGGTTATAAATGTAAGGCCTGACATTGTCTGCAAACCATAATGGGGGAAAACAGTAGCTGATGAGGGACTGCAGCCAGGTCCTGTTTTGCGGAAACTGGGTCAGCCAGCAGCGGAGGCAGCAGAAGGGGAGATGGTGGATCCAGGGTTAAAAGAAATCAGAGTTCACAGGACATGCTGTATGTGAGGAAAACTCTACATGATTCTAAACTGGTCCCACCACAGAGTCCTAGAAACCACAGACCCTTTAATGGCAATTCTCTACAGAATAAGGCTGACCACCTGGGACTATTTCAAGACCTTCATCACCAGCCTGAGCCTTCCAGTGAAGCACCTGCCTCCTGTTTCCCAGTCTGCAAGCTCTTGTTCACACACCCAGTGAATGCCCTTCTCCTCATATCTTCATGCATAAGCATCACCCTGCACAGGCCATGTCCAATACCACTTCATCCCCAGAGTCTCTGTCTGAAAGATGGGACTGATTTTTCTTTCCCATAACATTCTCCAGAAAACAAAACAAAACAAAACTGGATTTCTGTTTGGCAGACATGCTAAATTTTATTTTTTAAAAATGAAGGAGATAGATGTGAAAGTGTGGTCCCTGAATAGAAGTGTTGTGATTCACTATGAATGATTTCCTAGTAGTCCAATTGTAAAGGACAGATATTTAAACAGTAATAACTGTTAAAAAGTGGTTTACTATGGGGCTGAGAGATGGCTCCACAGGTAAGAACACCAGCTGCTCTTCAAAAGACCAGCCTTCAATGCCCAGCACCCACATCAGGTGGCTTAGCACTGGGAAATCTTACTCTCTCTTCTGGCCTCCATTTTCTCCTGGCTTTTGCAGGTATACATTCACACAGCCATAGAAATAAAATGAACATATGGTTCTGAGGATGGAGGAAGAAGACCTGAGTCTAGTTCCCAACACCCAGATGGCCACAAACAACCTTCTGTAACTCCAGTCCAGAGGACCTGAGGATCTGATGCCCTCTTCTGGTCTCCTCTGGCACTGCACACACACAGTGCACAGCTACACACTCAAAGCACCCATACACATAAAATTTTTAAAAAATCAGAAAAATTAAATATGTGGTGCACTACCAGAAAAGCACATGCCAGAGGCTGCATGATCTCTATATCATTGTTTCTGGGTCTTTCTAGTAGACCCTCCAATCTTTGATGGCCTGCTTACATCTGAATGATAACTGCGTCTTATGGAGACAGTGGCAAGTCCTCCAGCATATGAGCATCCAGAATTGTCAGAACCAACCCAGGAGGCAGCTATTTACCCCACTCACCGAGAGATGCTCCGGATTGGTTTCACCAGCAACATCTGTGGAAGGGATTTCATTGCTCTTGTTTGTGGTATCCCCGATGTCAGTTGCTGCAGTCCAGTCTTCAATTGGAGACAAGAGAAAGAGGAGGAATATGAAGTCATCGGCTGCTGACACACACAGGGCCACAGTGAGACCCAGCACAAGGCAAGACAGATCCAGAGAGTCCTAATCACTGGCAGGACAGCCTGGCTGTGCGGGAATGTGGCTGGCTGCTTGGTTCAATGAGTGGTGAGGGTGGAACTGCACAAAACCAATATGGTGTCCAGTTTCCATCCCTCCATCACTGTTCTACTGGTCGTTCTAAACCCACTTTAAGATTTCTCCTTTGCTCCTAGGGAAGCATCCCTTTATTAATGCCATCTTTAAAACAACCAAGAAAAGGAACCATGGACATTTTTCACATGAAAATCTTTGGAGGGCAGATCTGGCTGTCAGTTTTAAAGCTGAGGAATGTCAGCAGGAGAGTGAAATGATGAGGCTTATGCCGCATGGAAAGAAGCAGTCGGAGCCACACAATAACCCAGATTGTAAGAAAACACTGATTTCTGAGCAGGAGCATCTCATTGGAGAATCAGACAAGGGCTTAAGATGCAGCCTGGTGTGAGCATCAGTGTAGAACTTGGGTCCACAAAGGAATTTTTAGAAGGAGCACAGAAACACCAATATTCCATAATGAATAAGCCAACAATAATTAGTCACACAGATGTGTCTTTGTTGCCATAAATCTCAAAGTTGGTTGGCATGTTCTAGATCCGTTTTAGTTTACATGGACTAGGTGACTAATTTTCATGAGTAATCAAAGTATTTGTTCTTTTTTTTTTTTTTTTTGAGACAGGGTTTCTCTGTGTAGCTTTGTACCTTTCCTGGGACTCACTTGGTAGTCCAGGCTGGCCTCGAACTCACAGAGATCTGCCTGGCTCTGCCTCCCGAGTGCTGGGATTAAAGGCATGCGCCACCACCGCCCGGCTGTATTTGTTCTTAATATTACCCATCATGGAAAATTCTTAGAAAACCAACTGCAGGCATGTTGCTTGTAAGTATCTGTGTTTCAGCTCTAACTAGGAACAGTGCCCCTCATTTTCATTCGGCAAAAGACACTTCATTAACTCAGCCCCAGCCTAATTCCCCTTGGTAGGATCATCGTGCTGGCTTTAGGGCAAACAATTCAAATTACATTTTTATTAACAGCATGTTCCTTTGAATGTGAGTGAAAAAAATAACAGAAAAAGCACTTATTTTCTTTGTTTGTTGTTGTATTCTTAATGCCAAAACTCAGATTTTAACAATGTTTATTTGGAATATCTTAAAACTCACTGATTTCAAACATAAGCACACATCATTTATTTACTAATTTTTCTTTGTAGTATAGCCAAGTAGCCAGGCAAAATTTAGACCATTTTAAATGTCTTTAGTTTAAACCATGACATCTTAGCCAAAATGCCCAAAGTGGGAGCTGAGGCCACTGGGAAGGTGACATTTTTAAAGTTTTAAAGTTCTGAAAAATTCAAAACATAATTTTAAACTGTAAAAAAAATCACTGTTCAAACCTCATGCTGTGTGGAATAATCTGAGACATGTTTTTCTTAAACTCCTAGCATGTTGAATAAAAAATACATATTCAAATCACCTGCACAAGAATTAATCAAGCCACAACTTGGATGAAATATAGATTAGCATGCATACACAGAGAAAGGCAACATGATTCCCAGTTAAAATTAGCTGGAGTTAAATACACATATAATAAGCATACGATGGTCTATAGCTCATCCAATGGAGATCTTCTTTGCAAAGTACACACTGAATATGATCATTGTTTATGAAGGGCATGCTATAGACCCAAACAGGAATGTAAGTGAAAAGTTAAAGAACAAAGGACTTTTAAAAATATAACATTCTAACTAATCTAATTTTAATCATTTTTAATTTGAGTCCCAATCTTGAAACAAAGTCTGTCACTTCTCTAAATTCGGAGGCTTTGTGATCACAGTGGTGGTCTGGGAATCTGCACTAAAGAGTTTACACCCATCAATCAATGCATCCTTGGCACTTAGTCAAAAAGTAGAGTAGGGATGAGCAGCTAAGCACCATTCATACAGCTTTTGGATTCCTCCTCTTCTACATTTCTAAAAGGACTTCACTTTTTTTAGGTTTTTAAGCCCCTGCATTCCCAGGGAAACTAGCCTGCCCTCCAGGGATAGGTCTAGTAAGTCAAGACTATGTAATCCTGCTTCTCAGTAAGGAAGGTTAGATGGACCATGGCTGGGTCAGTCCCTCCGAAGCATCAGCTCACAGCACAGAGGAAACCAGTCCCCAGCAAGGCTGGTCAGTGGATGGTAATGTGTGGAGCAGAGACAACGAGTCCTGACGACACAGTCCAGTGGCTGGCCGAGCTGTCCCAGGGAAGCCCTCCCTTTAAAGCTCTGTCCATGAGCGGCCTTCTGCATTATACAAGAAACAATTTCATATGTGTTTCCTGTCATGGCCTGAAGGTGATCCACCTCCCTTCCCTTGGTTATCATGGCTTTTAAACAGGTAATTAGTTTTCAATTACGGAAACAAAATGTCTGTAAGAGCAGAATGGATTTACTACTTCCAAGAAGAGAGCCTGGGAGAGAAAGTGCTATTTACAGGCACTGCAAGTACCGAGGGGAAAGAGCCATCAATACTGGGTGATACTTGAGATGTTATTTTGGCCCATGTAGCACTTAAAAATGTGTGTTTAACCCAGCTTACAGGTCTTCTTTTAGCTTATTTATTTCATTATATACAAACATTTTGAAAAAATACACAGAGTGAAGAAACATGATAGCTACCTTCATAGAGATCTTCAGGATAATTTGGGTTTGTCTCTGAAAAGCAAAGGACATTAAAGAGTTGTAAGTATATATTTTAGAGTTAAACACTGCTTAGCTTTACCAAGTAAAATGTTACCTATACCCTGAAGTTTTTATAGCCAGATAGACTGTCTCGAAGAACAAGTACATAAGAGCTGGGGTTCTGACCTCCCTATAGATAAAGCTCTCTCCTCCTTCCTCCAGTTCCATACCACAAAATCAAAAAAGTGAGAAATCACTTTGGAAAAAATTAGTTCATTTTGGCCATTTCTCCTGCACTATTTCCATTATACAGTTGGCTATGTCAACCATAGTTTGGCTATTTTTATTTCAAAGATGATAATTTTCATAGCACTTCTATTATTCTCTGATGGTCGAGAGTTACTGTCAGGTCATATGTCCCAGAACCATTTCCATCTGGGTCATGTCACCAGCCTTGTGGGAACGCTTTTTTTTCTACCCTCTTCTCCAGGAACAAGGACAAATCTAGGGTTTCTTTGTCCTAACAACACAGAAACATAAAATATATTCCCCAACCAAAGTCATTGACTAGTATGAGATTATAAATAAATTTTCAAGCACATATAAATACAAACATATAACAGATTTCTCATTTGCATGGCTGTGAAATCACCAATTTGATCAAAATATCTGTGAGCACAGCTACCTGGGTCTGTAAGAAAGTGAGCTTGGAAATAAACTTCATCCTAACATTTAAGTGATTGCAAAATTAATCCCCTCAGTGCCTCCTTACACTTTTAGCCTCTGCCTATCAACAGGAAAACTTGTGGCCATAAAGCTTACTCAGTTTTCATTTTACTTTTGAGCCCCTAGCAGAAAAATAACATCAAAACAAAGTGAGAAATGCCAGTTTTCAGTTCACGAGCTCCCCAGTGAATAACAGCTAAGGCTGGTCTAAATGAATAACCGACTGAAAATGGCCCTCGTGTTCAAATTAGAATTGTAGCATACTTCAGTATGCTACAGTATTTCTGTTTTCCAGAGGAGGAATTAAATGGGTGGCTATGTGCTTCAAGTCAAGGATGCTGCCTTTGACTCACAGTGCACCTTTCTATGCACCCGTCACTGGAGTCTGTGTGAACAGCAATACCCACAAATGCACAGCATACAACTCCTGCAGCCACCTATGACCACACTGTGCTAATTCACATACAATCAATCATTCAAGAAAATTTCAATTACATTTTGATGACTTTTATCACTGCCAATATCATTTTGAAGTAGTTTTGAAATACACTCAAAATATCTCTCCTTAGAATTACAATACCATGTAAAGGGGTGGCTTGTGGGCTGCCCTGAAGGCAGTCTGGGGTCATCTGGTGACTTGAGCAGTGAGAAGTCCCAGAGTGGCACCTCCTGAGGTCATTTGTAAGACATCCACTGATCCTCTCGAGCCTTTTCCCTTTGGAGAGACCTCACACCAAATGCTGTCCTCAACAGTGATACTTTTGACTCCCTGCTGGGGAAAAGTTCCACAGCTCCAAGGGAGCAAGTCATCTTTCAAGCTCATCCTCCAGCTATTTTCTCAGATCCTCCACCCTTTGCTGTCTTCTCACTGTCCTCTCAACACACAGTCTGAGTCTGTTAGGGCCTCTGCCCTCTAGACGCCACTTTGGGTGCCCGTGATTCTTCTTTCAATCTGCCCCTAAACCCTCTTCCAAGCCCTACGCATCCTTTTCCTACATCTGCCAATCCAGCATGGCTGTAGAACCACCCTAAGCACACTCAATCCAAGACTCCAAAGTGAGACAAGAAAAGAGCAAGGACCAGACTACCCAGGCTTTCACAGGAGAAGAGTCTTGGGTCAGAGTCCCCAGACCAGAGGAAACAAAACAATTCTATTCCTGTATGGATGCAAGAGTCTGAGATTTCTAATTTCAAACTCTTATTAATGGGTCAAAGAATGTGAGATATCTTGTTTCATACTCACCAATTTGGTTTATAACTCTACAGTGTCCCATTGTAAGTAGGAAAACAGAGTTTGTACTGGGGATTATGAACCATCCCAGATAAACAGGAATGAGGGACATGCCTAAGATAATGGACTTTCAGTTTCAAAGCTGGAGAGGTCCCAGACAAATGCATATAGTTCACCCAGGACCCAAGTTTCTCCCTAGATACAGGACTCGTTTTGGGAATGCTGGGAGCAGTTAATGTCCTTGTATGTTCTCAAATCCTTATAGATCCCACAAATGGGAGAGGTGGTGTAGGTGGAAGTTTCTGTCCCATGCGGTCCTGCAGCCGTTCAGTCCCAAATAAACACACAGAGGCTTATATTAATTATAAACTGTTTGGCCTATTGCTCAGGCTGACAACTAACTAGCTCTTCCTCTTAAATTAACCCATAGTTCTTGTCTATGTTTAGCCACATAGCTTGGTACCTTTTCTCAGTTCAGCATTCTCATCTTGCTTCCTCTGCGTCGGGCTGGCAACTCCGGCTCTCTTTTCCTCTTCCCAGAATTCTCCTAATCTGGTCACCCCACCTACACTTCCTGCCTGGCTACTGGCCAATCAGCATTTTATTAAACCAATAGGAGTGACAAATCTTTACAATGTACAAGAGCATTGTCCCACAGCAAGGTGGGATTATAATACCATTTAATTTTATACCTAAAGCTCCATTTTTAAAAAGGTAGAATTCTGAGTCATGTTTACTTGGACCATAAATTTCAATGGCCTCCATCACTATAAGTGGCATCCAGATGTGATAAACCTCATGACAGAAGGGGGCACAACCAAACACTTTCACACATGGGAACACCAAACACTCTCACACATGGGGCACCACCAAACACTCTCATACATGGGGCACCACCAAACACTCTCACACATGGGAACACCAAACATCTCACACGTGGGAACATCACCAAACACTCCTCACACAAAGTGCTTAGGAAGATCCAAGAACATGAAATAAATTCAACAAAGCAGATTTTGGATATAGAAAAAGTAGGATTTCATGTAGGATCATAAATAAACAGGTTAGATCACAACCTAGAAGACGGTGCATTTTTCCAGACTCATGATCCTGCATCATGTCCTTGCCACCAAGATCAACCACAAAACAAGCAGGCCACATTCGAACTTGCTGAAAACAGTATTCTTGTTCCAACTGCCTTCTTCCAGATCCAAGAGACCTGTCACTGCTCTTCCACTGGCAGTCATAAAGCTCGGGGTGAGATGATGGTCCCGGCAATGAGAGGGCGCAGGAGCAACATCACCGCTTTGGTTGATGTAACCAGACCTAGTGAGTCACATTCCACAGCACAGAAGTGGCTCAGGCTGGGCACATGGGGTACACGTGGACTCAAGTTCATGAAAATAAGTTAACAATTGTCTTTACACTTCTGGCAATAGATAAATATTGAAAATATTCAATATTTTTTTCCTCTTACGAGATAGAGTCTCACTGTGTATCTCTGACTGGTTTGGAACTTGCTAGGTAGGCCAGACTGACCTTAAACTCACAGGTGCTGGAATTAAAGGCATGCACCACCACACCTGGATATCCAAGTATTTTAAAGTTTATTTTCTAACTGGTTCCTTTTACTGAAATCTAAATAATGTTCATTCTATACTCTTACATACAATTTGCAATGGTAAAGTTGGGGACTGCTGTGGACACTCAGCACTGGTAGATAAATGAGGCAAGACAAGCATGAGAAAACAATTCCACCAAGAGAGAATGAATGAGAGATGAATGAAGAGCATCGGACCCAAGTCACAACCTTGCGGTGGGATTGGAGAAGCATCTTGTGGTTTCTTTGATCATATCCAGGTCCAGCCCATCAAGTGGGAAATGCCCCGATTCATACAGCACATGTGCTTCAAGGTCCAACATGGAAAGATGGAAATCCAGGCACCTCATTGCACCCTAGAGTTCTGTGTACATAGCAGCTGTTTCTTTCCTCTGCAGCCACTCCCATAGCTCCACGGTCAGATGCCAGTATCACAGCCAAAAGAAACTGAGGACCAGGGACAAGCTGAGATCCTGGCTGAGTACTGGCTCCTAAAGGGCATTCTCAGGTGCTGTGGGCATGTTCACTTTGACTTGAGGGATCACTTTCTGAAGTTATAGGAAGAGATTAGAGGACCAGAGTGGCCTGAACTTACAAAGGGTAAGTTGGTTGTATGAAGGCCATAGACACATGCCATCAAAGTTCCAGAATAAACTGGAAGTGCCTGTGCCTCCAGAAGATGGTGCTCAGGGCATGAGGCTTGCAAGTGGCCAAGATCAAATCATGGTTTTTCTTTCTTGACTCTATCAAGCTGAAACACTTACCAACACCCTCATTACATGTTATATGACCTAAAGATCCTGCCTTCTCTCTCTCATTTTGTGTATCATTTTGCCCTTTGGGTTTTTTAGGGGTTTTTTTTGGGGGGGGGCGTTGTTGAGGTGGTGTCTCACTCATGCAGGCCTCGCACGTGCAGTGATCATCCAGCCTCCATCTCCTAACACTAGAATTATAGGTGTGCACACCAGCACTCTCAGATCCATTTTAGCTTCCAGTATCAACCACACCTCATGAGTAAATCTTTGGGCTTCTGGAAATCTGTCTGAATAAATTATTACGACTTGTTAAACTGCAAGATTCTAACGTTCAGTAGAAACTTAGTCTCAGAGGGTAAGAAAAGAAACCAGGGAGAGAGAGGTAGCATGAAATCAGCCATCTTGTGTTCTGCACCAAGATGAAAACTGCAGCAGGGGCCGGGAGGACACGAGCTTCCTTCTTCTAAGCCATTGTCTCTCTAACACCCTTAATTTTTAAGATTTATTTACTTGTTACACGTCTTAGCGTTTTGCCTACGTTCATGTCTGTGCACCACGCCAGCACTGTGCCTGTGGAGGTCAGTGGAGGGCGTCGGATCCCCTGAAACTGGTGTTACAGATGGTTGAAAGCCGCATTGTGGGTACTGAGAACTGAACCTGGGTCCTCTGCAAGAGTCATACATGCTTTTACCTGCTGAGCTGTCTCTCCAGCCCCTCAAAT